TGTTTACTTGGAAAGTTTTAAATAACCCCTTTGGGAGCGACCACTTTCCAGTCGTTTTGGAAAGTCAGGTATCTATTCCAAGCCTCATGAAACGCAATCCACGTTGGAAACTGGAAAAGGCAGACTGGGGTCTTTTTTAGCCTAAACTCGGTACTCAAACCTTGCATGTTCTTGCCATTAACACATGATGAAGCCACCACATACATTACAGATCAGATCATAAATGCTGCCTTTCGCTCCATCCCTCAGACTTCATGCAACATTGCAAAAAAATGTAAGCCATGGTGGAGTAAAGAATGTTCCGCCACTAAGAAAAAACAAGATAAGGCTTGGAGTATATTTCGGAGATATCCAACATCTGTGAATTTGTTAGAGTTTCAGAGAAATAGAGCTCAAGCTCGTTCAACCAGGAAGCAGGCAAAGAGGAAGTCTTGGAAAGGTTATCTGACCTCTATCAGCAGCTACGTCCCAGCAAAGGAAGTGTGGGAACGACTTCACAAGGTCGAAGGCAGATACCGTTGCTTTACAGTTCCTCTTTTTCCTTCAGTGGATTCGTTGCATGACCAGGCTAATCTGTTGGGCGAACATTTTGCAGCCATTTCCAACTCCTCCCATTACTCTTCAGCGTTTTTGAAGTTTAAGACAGATGCAGAAAAAATGAAAGTCAGCTTGGCAGGAGGAGCTTCTGCACCCTACAATCAACCGTTTACGATGGTCGAGCTCCAAATGGCACTTAATGTCCGGAAAAACTCGTCTCCTGGTCCTGACCGAATACATTATGAGATGATCCGACACTTGTCGAAGGAATCACTCGCTGCCCTTCTCGTTTACTTCAATGGTCTGTGGAAAGACTCACATTTCCCTTCCGAATGGAAGCGGGCAGAGGTTATTCCACTGCTGAAGCCCGGAAAAGACCCTTCCTTTCCTGCCAGCTACAGGCCAATAGCACTGACGAGTTGCTTGGAGAAGCTCTATGGTTTTCAAGGTACCGGGGCGGAAGAAAACAAAAATCCAGGGTGCGCCACGGTCGATCCGACATTTTTAAAAGGTAGATATTTTGCTGTCTGCCGTACATTCGACCTACCAATTGTGGCTACAAAGTCCTTGTAGAACGTTGTAGAAAGCCAAGCAGATGTTCAACGCGATATTCTTTACGTGCACACGTGAAGAGGAGTCGTCACGACACCTGAGGCAGCATTTCAAGCTCTGAACGCGGAACATTTCGTTCATTCCGGCGATGGTTCATTATGCCGTGTGGGCGTAGCAACTGCGCCAAGAGAGGTCGAAACGATTAAAACTCTATGAGTAGAATTCTTCTCCACCCCCAAAGTTCCTGAAAATTAGCGTGCGAAGACGGCAGCCCTCACCGCAGTCACAGTTTCGTAGAATTAGGCACGTCGACTTCGACAATCCTCCTGTCATCTGCTAGTCGTATGGCTACTGCGTGCGTTTTATTGCGACTTTGATATTATTTATTGCACTTGGGGAGGTAGAGATGTACAGGTGTGCTGGTGTTGGGGGAAGGCTGACACCCGTGCAACTATAGTGTACCCACAACAGTTTCAAGGAAGATGGAAAATGCATTATGTAAAACCATTTTTTTTTTTTGACAACCAACAACAGTCAGATGCGCCACAACGAACGGAGAATGTCTGAATACGACGACGCCTGCTGTCTGCGAGGTCGGTGCACCGTTTTATGTGCAGCGTCGTCTGCTACTCGCGGCGATGGTTGCGTCGCCTTTCCCTCGGCTTTCAGAAATTCATTGTTGCTTCACGAACGAGACTGGGCGTTCGAGGAAAGGGAAAGAAAATACCAAGAAGCGTACATACTTTATTTATTGACTAACAACCACGAGACGCGTTTCAAAAAGCAAATAAAATCTCGCGGCCGAGGTGTTTCCCACCGAGATCCCCTTGCTCGCCGCAGTTGCTTTTATATCGGGCGGTAGCTTACGCCACCCAGCCTTGAATTATTTAATTGAAACATGTTTTCTTTTTATTTTCTACCATACTACTTCTCCCTTTACATCCCTCCAACTATCGCCGGGCGGGTAGAGTACTTTCCAGGAAGAGCTTCGCGCCGGCTGCTCTTGTTGCCAGCAAACGGGGCGAAATTCCAACGCAATTAACCAGCCGCCAACCCATTCAAAAACAGAATAAATCTTTAAAAAGTCAATAATCGAGTTATATTTTGTATAAAAAAAATGAATTACCGACTTGATTATTTATGAATGAACACTGCTCCTAATAAAACACTGAAAATTCCCTCTGGACTGACTCGGTTACTCGTGGTTTGGCGCAGCCGGCTGTGGCTGGAGAGGCGGGCGGGGTGGCTGGAGCTGCCGCACGCTGCACTTGGCTGGGCGGGCGTCGGAAGAGGGCTTTGCGTGGAAGCGTTTACGCGTGGTCAAATGGCACAGATTTGCCACTGTTTGTGGCTCTACTAAAGGTCGAGTTACCCGTGTTGGCATCCTGGTACTTGGTTATACTGCACAGCCTTCCAGAATGAACAGGCAGAAGCGCGGTCCCTACAAGAGGTATTTGACAAGCAGCAGCGAAGTCGTAAGTACCTGCGTCACACTCAAGCGGATCGTTCCACTAAGAGTCTGCCGCCTCTGTAGGCTGAACCTACTGTATGGATGATTGAAATTTTTTTTGACGTTCCAATCACTCCCGGCAGCGTGACAATTTAGGGGCAAGGTTAGAAAGATTTTCATTTCTAGTTACTTCATAAGGTTCACCGCTGCTTTGTTCTATTGAGAAGGGGTTAGGCATTGGCTTAGGCTAGTGTACTGCAATTGCTATCGCACAGTACGTCGTATATTCGTAGCACCAGGCTATACATAGATTTTTCGTCTGCATGTAGGAAATGATGCCTTCCTATGGCAGACAACTTACGCTGTACAAATGTGTAATATTTTAGCAAGTAATTATACTCGGGAATCTTTTCGGCAAACTTATCCCAATTGACAGTTACGATTTCTGCTCAGTCCCAGTAAGCATATTACTCGCATACATTGACTGCAGCTGGCATGATGTAGACACGAAGAATGAGTGCTGCTAGCAATTTTGATCCGAGCTGTCAGCTGGCATTTGTTTCCAGGCCTATTTTTTCATCTGCTGGCAGAGTAACAACCGCAAAAATATGCCAGCCAACGTAGAACCACTGCCGGCAATTTTTTTCTCTGGCTGCCAGACCCTGTAAACCCATGTATATATAATGCCGACACTATAGTGACGTGTTTGCAGCCAGCAAATGGGAGAAAACTGCCAGCATTTGTCCGCCCAGACAACTCTGCCAGCTGCCGGCAAAATATGGGTTCGTCTTTCTTTCCCGAAATTCAAACGAAGTGAACGTCTCGGGAGCCAGCTACTTGCTTTGTACTTGTCATGCATCTGCACAAGTTATAACAGCAAAAGAAAGTGGAACTGTTTACAAGACACAAACTAAATCTGGATATTCAACACAATAAAAAAAAATTCCTAGCCCAGCATGCTAACCGCTGCACCATCTGAGCTCATTGTTGCTGAGTTCTTGGTGATAGCAAAGTTGGGGCACGAATATCTACCGAATGTTGCCTCTGCTAGCATAAATTCTGCAACTCATTTCAAAGGTTCATTATTTTTTTATAGATATGTTTGAAATTGCAGTACTCGTAATAAAAGAAACATGTTTTCTGTTTTCTTTTTCTAACTTGATAGGTCCCACGACATACCCAAGCTCGGTGGGACCAGCTTTCTGAAGATGCAGGCTGTTCCGAACCTCCGAACAGCGCAAGCCCTGATCAGCTCGCAAGCAGCCCAATTCCTCTTCGACAAGAGGGTGGTGCAGAGGATGCAAGTGATGCCGAAGAGGAGAGGAGCTTCTGCTCGGACATCAGTGTTTCAAGTTCTGATGAAGCTGATGACGGAGACAGTACCTCCTCCGGTGAACAATGCCCAGGTGACAGCTATGTACAGGAAGGTTTGGCCCACACTCCCCTTTTTGATGGGTGTTCTATGTCCCGCATTGAAGTTTGTGTCATCCTGATGAACTTGTTCTTCAAATTCAACCTCACGCGAGAGCTTCTTTCAGCTTTGTTATTTGCTCTCAACTTATTTCTGCCCCGCCCACATTCTCTTCCGTCAACGACGTACACCTTTTTCAAGCTAATTTCCAAGTATCGATCCGGTGATCCAGCAAAAGAACATTTCTTTTGCAAGAATTGCCACACCTCTGTTTCCGCTGGAATCGCATGCTGTCCATTATGCACCAAATCACTTATCAACTGCGGCAGATTTTTACAGATAGAGTTAGCTCCAACGCTGCGCTCATTCTTAGAGGATGAAAGGATGTATGAATACTTCTCACCACCCAACCATGGCACTTCTAATGCCTACAGTGATCTAACAGATGGGGATGAATACAAGAAGGTGAGGTCTGGAAGCGGCAAATATGACTTCTCTTTGTTCTGGAACACTGATGGTGTTAAGGTGTTCAAAAGCTCAACCTCTTCCTTGTGGCCCTTGCACTGTGTAATCCCTGAACTGCCTCCCCGACTACGCAAGAAATTTCAACTAATGACTCTTCTTTGGTGTGGCTCAAAGCCTGACGTTAATACCTTTCTTCGACCATTTTGTATGGAAGTGAAAAAACTCGCATTGCAGGGTTTATGATGGACTCATCCTGTAACTGGACGACAACTGATATCCCATATTTTTGCACCAGTCACATCTGTGGACGCCGTAGCAAAGGCTCTGCTGCAGAATATTCGCCAGTTTAATGGCTTGCATGGGTGCTCTCTATGTGAGGCCCCTGGCAAAACTTGTCAGCGCAATGGCTCCTCCCGATCATGGATTTACGTTCCGGGTACGCATGCTTTGCGAACGGGGAGTGGCATGAAGCAGCAGGCCGTACAGGCTGTGAATAGCCAAAGTGTAGTACAAGGGGTAAAAGGACCGTCTGTATTGAGTTTGATTCCCCGTTTTGATTTGGCGTACAGTTTTGTGATAGATTACATGCACTGTGTACTGCTAGGGGTAGTGAAAATGCTAATGGCCACCTGGTTTGACTGTAAGTGTCATGCAGAGTCATGGTACCTCGGACGACAGTTGACCGAGGCTCCCAGGTGGACTGCATTTTCTTAGATTTCGCCATGGCATTCGATAAGGTGTGTCACGAGCTATTACTGTTAAAACTTTCAAAACTTAACATTGACCCTAACGTTCTCGCATGGATTCGGTCTTTTCTAAATAACCGTTCACAATTTGTAACAATTAACAACGAAAATTCTCCTCCTGTGTCTGTAAATTCTGGAGTTCCTCAAGGGTCGGTTTTAGGCCCACTACTATTTTTAATCTATATTAACGATCTTTCCATTAATGTGTCTTCATCCGTTTGTCTCTTTGTCGATGACTGTGTAATTTACCATGAAATCTGTCACGATTCTGACCTGTCTACACTTCAGTCTGATATTAACTCTGTCTCTCGTTGGTGTGAATTATGGCTAATGAAACTAAACACTAGTAAATGTAAACAGATGAGAGTGTCCCATAAGCCTAACAACAGTCCCTGTTACCACCTAGATGGCAACCTTTTGGAGCAAGTGGCAACGTACAAGTACCTTGGTGTTCACTTAAGGGGGGAGGCTGGTCTTTAACTTTTTGTTTTTTATTTTTCATTTATTGTGGTGCAATTTACTACACTGATGTATTTCTCCGTAGTGATTTCAAATATGCAATCATCTCTTTAAATATGCAATTAGTTTTCAGATAGCTTTACTAGATCCTGCATTACCAATAAATTTGTCATTTTAATTAGGTCCTCTTTACGGGTCGTTAGCGTAAGAGTTTTCAGAACATATCAGAAATTTTTATAGAATTGCATTCACCAAGACATGTTTTGTGCGGTGATGCTATTTTTGTTGCTTTATATATCATACAACAATTTTAATTAATTACTCTCAAAAAGATATAGCCTCCCGTTTTATGCAACTTGATTGCAAATGTTTTTTACCGATGTAATATCATTAAATCAGTCTTAAAATAGCATCACCGCACAAAACATGTCTTGGTAAATGCAATTCTATAAAAATTTCTGATATATTTTGAACAATTTTATGGTAACGGCCCGTAAGGAGGACACAATTAAAATTGCAAATTTATTAACACCTCAAGATGCAGTAGAGCTATCTGAAAACAAATTGCATATTTGAAATCACCACAGAGAAATACATCAGTACACTAAATTTCAACACGATAAATGGAAAATAAAAAACCAAAAGTTAAAGACCAGCCTCCCCCCTTAACAAATAACCTTTCATGGAAACCCCACATTCAGTATGTTACTACCCGTGCTAACTGCATGTTGGGCTACTTAAAACGCAGCTTTTCATTGGCACCTATTTCACTAAAATTGATCCTCTAACAAACATTAAAGGGATACTACAACGAAATTTCGGCGCTCATTTTTTGGTCTATATGTGTTCAAAAGAGCAGTATCACATGAAACATACCAATATCTTGTTAAAAAAGTCTCGAAAAGGAATTTTAAAACGAATTAAACGATTAGCAAAGAGCACCTGGTGGATGTCGCTAACGCCTCGTTTTTAATGCTCGTCTAGGAACCTTGACAGCTAGTGACGAAAGTTGTCTTGTCTCTGGCCACGACGAGAGAAGGGGGGAAGGAGGAACTCCCCTCTTCCCGAGAATCCCTTTTGTGCGTCGCAGAAGTCGCTATTGTCCCCCTAGAAGATTACAGAAGATTTACCCGTCACTCAAAATTCATACAAAAGCAGCCGCTTCGGTGGCTGGAACGACTAGGCCATCCTCTCGACGTCAGCCTCGCCGTAGCTTTGCTCGTCTTGAGACGACCTACGTCACGATTGCGTTGGATGTCACGTGCTCTAAGCTGGGCCTTCTCCGAGCGCTTGCCAGAGTGGGCCATTTATAACGAAAAATACAGCCACCAGGATCAAAATACAAACGTGCGATTGTCATTTACGGATATTGTGGATCATATTCAACCTATTTTTGAACACGACGGGAATATTTCAAATTTCGTTGAAGTATCCCTTTAATCAGGCCTAAATTAGAATATGCAGCCTCCATCTGGGATCCCGGTCACGATACTCTAATCACTGCATTGGAATCCATTCAGAATAGGTCAGCCCGTTTCATTCTTTCCAACTACCATCGTACTGCTAGTGTCACATCAATGAAAAATAGTTTATGTTTACCACTTCTCTCCTTGCGACGTAAAATTTCACGCCTATGTCTATTTCATAAAATGTATTTTTATAACCCTCTCCTACGCAATCGGATGATTACTCCCCCCTTTTACATTTCATCCCGTCTTGACCATCAGCATAAAGTTGGAGTTCCAAGTTCGTTTACCACAACATTTCAATCTTCTTTTTTACCCCGCACAGCCGAGGAATGGAACCACCTCCCTGGTTTGATTGCTACTATAACTGATACTAACTTGTTTAGAAATTCCATCACTAGCTATTTTAGCAGTGACCCATGACCTATTATTATTATTATTCTTTGTTTGTTTTATATTTAATATTGTTGACATGTTACTATAGTACTATCTTTGTTTCTTGTATGTGCTCTCCCCCTCTGTAATGCCTTCGGGCCCTGAGGGTACTTTCAATAAATAAATAAATAAAACAATTGACGAGAGGCTCCTGGCCATCCAGCCACCCGATTTTATCACTAGAACGCCGCGCTCTGTCAGGCATAGAATGTATTGGAAAGCAAGTGAGTTCAGGGCATGGCTACTTTTTTATTCTATTCCAGTACTTTCTGGCATTCTTCCACTGGCTCATCTCCAACATTTTGTCCTCCTCGTCTCCGCCATCCATATGCTGTTGAAAGAGTCTGTAAAACGGCACGAAATTGATCTGGCCGAAACTTTTCTTAGTCGCTTTGTTGAAGAGTCCGCATCACTTTATGGACCACAGTTTTTAACTTTCAACATGCACCAGTTAACACATCTCGGTCTTTCTATAAGACGTTGGGGCCCCCTCTGGGCAACGTCTGCATTCCTTTTTGAAGATAGAAATGGTGAACTAGTTAGAGTTATCCAAGGCACCAGGGCAATCGATAAGCAACTTGCTACTCTTGTCGGGATCGGAAATGCACTTAACTCAATTGAGCGACGCATGGATAAGGGCTCTACTGCATTTTCTGTCTGGAACAGAATTCGGAATGTTCATTTTCCAAAACAGACGACAGACGGATCTGTAAAACTCCATGGACGCCCATATCAAGCGAACAGAAAGATAGCAAGTTTCTTATCGACCCAGTCTATGTTCGACAATGCATTGATCTACAAGAGGGCAACGATTGGTTGTGTCACTTTCACATCTAGTATTTATGAAAACCAGAAACGTAGAAATAACAGAGCAGTCAGATGTACTACTGAAAACGGTATTTGCTATGCATCCATTGAGTGCTTTGTGAAGAACAGCATGGAAGTGTATGCTGTTCTCAACGAGTTTTTTATCGATGATTCTGAGACAATAGTACACGAGAGCATGAACTACTCACTTTCCCAATTCATTCCTGTGTATTCCACCGACAATCAGCTTGTCATTGTCCCCCTTCCCCAAACAGAACTCCACAAGTGTATTTTTGTTCTTGATTACATTGTTTCAACACCGAATCTGTTTGAGATGAATTTGTAAAGCCCAGTAGACTGCTCCTTTTCTAATTGTTACTGTACATGCCCCCTGGACATTGAGCTGCAGCACATGATCAGAACCTTTGCTATGTTGTCCTGAGCTGCCCGCAATATGACAGAGGCTTATTTCGGAAAAGGCGCCGTGTAACCAAACTTTTGGTTGCACATCTAGAGATACCCAGGTGGTTGAATTAATCCTCAGTCCCCCCTTGGGTGTGCCAGATACCCTTCGTATGTTTGGCACGTAAACGCCCAAATTTACTATTACCTTGGCTTCTCCAAAAACTCTTGTGTGGTTCCACTTGATCTTAATCACTTTTCAAAATTGTGTTGCACAAATGAACTTGGTACGCATGGTGTCCTTGATGGTGGACTTAGATGGTCTTACACATCACTTTGCATCCCAGCTTAAAGCGAAACGAAACAACAAAATGTCATATGTGTGGTTATAAGTTACATATATTTGTACTGTGCATATCTTTTCAGCTTACAAAATGGGGGGGTGGGCACTTAATGTGAAATGGGCGGATGCACGGTATTTTACGGTATTCATCAAACTACCTCCCTTCCCCGCTGATTGAGGAAAAAGTTTTGTGAATTCTGCTTTAAAAAAATGGTGAACCGAAATTTGGATTAAAAAAAAAAGACAATGCAGGAGATGTAGGCGGGATGTTACAATCGCTACAACACTACTTGTAAGGCGATATCTCGAATGGACGGCCATATTTTTGGGAAAAGAGGTCGAGATTGAACCAGGCGGACAGATCACGTGACGTCAAGATATCTCGTTTCCTCCTCACTTCGCTTTGCCCCCTCAAGGCGGCGAGGTGGAGAAGACGCGAGGCCGTCCCCTCTCCTTCTCAGAGAAACAAGGTGTAAACATATCTGTCAAATTCGCCTCTTTTTTTTCAGTACAGTCATCCGTTTGGGATATCGCTGTATGAGTGATGTTTTGGTGTTTCTAGCATCCCGTTGCATGCTTTTGCTGCGTGTTTTGTGGAATCCAGATTTTGGTTCAACATCCCTTTAACGCGTGTGTCAGGATTAATTGGACCAAACCATGTCTGGTAGTGTGTTTGGCTTTGCAACAAGTAATGTTTAGGTGTGTTCGAAGCAGGCGTCAAATCTGTCGTTTTTTCCACTGCTGAGCAAATTAGAAGTTTTTTGAATAATTGTGATTTGACTGTGTTTGTCAGAACCTGACGAAGCCATGTTTTTATGTGTTTAAGCATGTTTATTTTCGATGTTTGATTTACCTGAAGTTGAATTGTGGAGATAAAAAAAAATATTTGTTATGCCCAATGCAGTTCTCTGACTTATTTGTACCACATGCATATCAAATTAACCTGCACTGTCAACATTAACCAACCCAAACTGCTGGGGGGGGGGGGAGGGGGGCTGGTACATTTGTCAGACTCCCATAAAGCAGCCTTTTTTTGCTGTCGTTTGTTGGTGTACACTATGTAGCACATGAAGACAAATGAAAATTGAGCCGATTTGATCAAACCATAAATAATAATCTCAGTACACGTTATGTATGTTAATGTACTTTTCGGTAATTCGAAAGACAATTTTGGTTATGTATTTCTTTTTTCTCACGTGCTTTTTCACTTAGATGTAAGATCATACCAATGTAAAAAAACAGTAGACTTGTGGAGAAAAAAAGGTTTGCAGTCTTATAACTGCAAATTTTTAATGCGAGACTGGTCATAATTGTGCATTTCAAAAAAAGGCTTCTCTAACTACCGAAATAGACTACTCGATGAGGAAAAAGGGGCAAGAATATTTAGTGAAAATTTATCAATTGTAATTATTCTATTCTTTGAATCAATGGTCATGTCTCCTGCTCCCTTGATTTGCTTCAAAGCAGCTTTTATTTATTAAAATAAAAAGGCAAATAGTCCGAAGTGGCTGCTGTCATATTTAGTTGGGCATTCGAGGGCGAAGTATGACTGCCATAAACTAATTCATTTAGATAACAATGAAATATTGACACAGTTTTATATATACTTCCTTCAAAATTAATGTTAGGAAAGTGAAAAGTTACATTACATACTGAATTGGACAAAAGCTTTTTGAAATGTTTGCTGAGAAGCGAAAAATAGTGTCTTTTTCTAAAACGGCTAGTATTGTTAAACATTTCAAAACAAATTAGAAATTCTTTTCGTCCACTTATATAGCACCGAGTACACAATGTAAAAGCATCACCTTCCTAACAATAATATTAGGAAATACACACCCAGGGGAATATTCAGTTGTTAAATATCTAAATTATCTGACTTATTACGTTTTGCCCTGGAATGCCAAACAGGAAAGTTGATGCTGTAAATTAGTGAATTTTCGTGAACTTGCCGAATCGTCTACGATTCCCAGAAAATGGGTTTCCCGAACATTTCGGACGTAATGTTACTTTTCGAAATAATTGGCTACATTGAAATCCTCGCGAAATTTAGCACAAATAATCCCAATCTTAAGCTTGCCAAAGCTAAGGTTTGGGATTATTTGTGCTATTTAGATTTAGTAATTTACGAATTAGCTAATTAACAAATTGCTTTTTAACTTTTTTTTTTTTAGCGCAGCTCTTAGGCGCTTGTTTCCGGCTTAAGCGGCGTTGCCGTCGGCGTAACGCTTTTTCGCGACGCGTTGGCGTAATGCGTCACGAAAAGGTGTAACGGTGACGCCGACGCGTCACGAAAAAGCTTTATGCCGACGGCGACGCGTCACGAAAAAGTGTTACGTTGACGCGTTACGGCACGCCGGCGTCGGCGTGACGCGTCGCCGTCGGCGTAACCGCGCTGTACATTATTAGAAACGTGCCATAATGCACACCGCGGTGACGCGTGCGTTGCATTATATGGTACGCTTCCCATAATGCACCGCTTGAGATGGAGCGGGAGGTGGCGAGGAGAGATGAGGGAGGAGGAGAGGCCTGCGCATACCATCTCCTCCGGATCCTCTCAAAAAGAGCTCTAATTCAGCATTAGAGTTGTAAACGTCCTTCATTTATTTAACTTATTTCTACACAATTAAAAACCGGCCGCTAGATAAAGCTGTATACGACAGATAACAAAGTATATATACCTTAAATGAGGCTGTATACATTCCCAGATAAGACTTTATATTCTCCAGATAAGGCTGTATATACGACAGATAAGTCTGTATATATGCCATATCAGGCTGTATATACGCCAGATAAGTCTGTATATACACCAGATAAGTCTGTATATATGCCATATCAGGCTGTATATACACCAGATAATTCTGTATATACGCCAGATAAGACTGTATATAGGCCGTATATAATCATATAATGTTTGATATGGCCAGATATGGCACAGATATAAAATTTCCATACGGGAAGGGGGGCGCCCGCGTGCCGCGCGATCCGCGTTGCGTGGTTTGGCTGTTCGGCTCTGCTTCGCTTCGCTTCGAAGCCGGCGTGGCACCTTGGCGCACGGCGCGCCGAGGCGCCGCGATTCCGACACTTTTGTACGTAACAACCGGGAAAGCAAACGTAACAGGCAGGAAACTTATACATGTATCTCTATGGAAGTAAAACGGGACCGGCGTTTTTGAACGCAACGGACAGGAAAACGTATCAACCAAGAACGTATCAACGAGGTTCTACTGTAAGTGTTTTTAGTGCGCTATTTGTTTTTTGCTCCATCCATGATAATGAGTCTGTGAAATACGCGCCCAAATACTTGTACGACAGTGAGTGTTCTAGTGGTTTGGAAAGTAATGAGTACTGGGTTAGTGTTTTAGTGGAGGACTTAATTATGGACATTTCTTTGCATTTATATGTGTTAATGTTCATCTGCCATGGGAACACCATGATGATATTGTATCTAAATCGTCTTGTGATTAATATAGGTGTATTAATTTTCTGGTAAATAACTCATGCATTAGCAAACAGTCTAATTGTCGATTTAATTGATAATGGTAGGTCATTGATATATATTAGAAACAATAGAGGCCCGAGTACACTACCCTTAGGGACATCTGATGCAACAGCAACGGGACCCAAATTGCCAGACAAGTATAAAAGTAATAGCATTCTAAAATTGTGATGTGCTGGTTTGAAAAATGTATTGCACATAGTTTGAAAAATGTATTGCACATATTTTGAAAAATGTATTCCACATATTTTGGCAAACTTTTCTTAGACCTGTGATCAACTTGCATAGGTTCAGCAATTCAAAGCACTCTGCCTGTTCAAATATAGTACTTGTTTTGCAGCAAGCAACCTATCTGGTTACTACATCAAAAAACACCTGTGACCTATTTCTTGGCAATGTCATAATGTGAAAACTTTATATTTGCAAAAAAAAAAGTGCCGTAATACCCGAGCGTTGCCCCATATGCAGATGTACTTCGACAGTACCGAGTCTGTGAAACGACAGTTAGGGCAGCTAAAAACAAGTTTTGTACACAAACAGAAGTGGCTTCATATTCAAAGTTGCTCGCATTTACAATGCAGAAGAGTCATAAAGAAGAAATTGGTCACCTTTGAACACTGCGAAACGAGCCTCCTGGTATCCATAAATTCTGAAAATATCCGTCTTCAAAAACATTTATACACATGCATCTTAGATGCTGTAGATTATGTGACACCGAGACACGCAAGTTCTGTGCAGCATGTTGGCATTTACGTTGTAGCACCACAAGATACCCAACAGACTTCTACAAGGACACCGATTATCTGCACACACACACACACAGATCGACCGACTTCAGAGAGCAGTTGCCTTTGGATGAGGATGAAGCGCAAGCATGTTGCTGGCCGGACACAAACTAATTTGTTTAGCCTTGACCTCTTAGCATATCTTGCAACAAAGGTTTCTCAGTTGAAAGTTTTCACTGCAGTCCAACACATGCTTCAGCTTGAACTAACGATGGGTTCATCATCACAGGCGTCGGACATACTCTTCCTTGGTCCGAGTTCGCTTCTTGACATCCGTGAGGGTTGGCAGCGAGTGTCTTTGATCGAGTTTCAGCTTTTCA